TGTAGGCCCCCTACAGTAGAGTCAAACTGCAGAAAACCACTTGCTATTCTTCAGGCATTGCGATGCGGGTCCATGGGAGTCTAGGGTTCAGGGTTTGGGATTTCGGGTTTTAGGGTTTTAGGGTTTAGGGTTTTAGGGTTTAGGGGTTTAGGGTTTAGGGTTTAGGGGTTTAGGGTTTAGGGTTTAGGGTTTAGCTTGGGGTCAAGGGTTTAGTTTAGGGCTTAGGGTTTTGTTTATCTCTTTATCCGGCCGTCCAGAACTTGGAGGTTCCTTAAGGATTATGGTATATTGGGAAGGCCCTCAAGGGGTTGAGATTGGAACGTCAGGTTTGAACCCCGGGTTTCAGCGGACCTTCTAGGGGACCATGGTACTGGTATTTTGGGGTCATTTATGGGAAAGTCAGACCTTGAACAGTCTGAAATCTCACTGCCCAAAAAAGCATCGTTCACAAACGCCCTTCTAAGCCGAAAGTCCCCCTTCAGTATGTAGAATATGGAAGAGCCCATTATCATAAGAAGATCCCCATATACACCATATTCTATCTACTTCAGGGGGACTATGGATCCTCAAAAATCTCGGCCTTTTTTTCCAAAAAAAAAGGCTGAGTCTGCTGCCGCCATCCCGGCACGTCCTCTTGCAGGGCAAGATCAGGACAGTGTATGAGTGTTTGTCAGAACAGCAAGTTAGGGGTTTCCCTAAACCCTAAACCCGATGGGTTTAGGGGTTTAGAACTTAGGGTTTACGATTTAGGGTTTGGGCTTTTTGGGCCTAAGGGTTTTGGATTGGGATCCCACGGTGCTTCACAAGGCTTCATACTAGAACATAGCACGCGTTGCATTGTACGGACTTGGCCATACCGGGTTTAGGGTTTAGGGTTTCATTTGGATTTGTTTAACCGGAGCCGAACCATGTAGGGTTCAGTAGTTAGGAAATCCTAGTCAATGGACTACACCCTGCATGACCTTCTAGGGAACATATAGGTCCCCCAAATGGAAGAGCTTCATATGGACTGGAATTGAAGCCCCAGAAGTCACCAATCGCAGAACTCCTCACTGAGAGCAGCAGGGATGTCTTGTCCCGCAAACGGCTCTACATAAGGTCTTGCTACTTAAAATGTGACCAGAAACCGAAGGGCGTGCAAGAAAGATCATGGTGATACTGGCCTTGACAAGAAAAGCAACAATCTTGTTAGAGTGCTATGAAGGATGCCCCTTGAGCAGGAATTTTCTGAACCCTCAAGATTCATATGAAGCGTTCCAGTCCTGAAAACCGCAGCAGCCCTTTGGCGCGCGAAAACGGGGAAAAACCCTTTCAAAGAAAGGTAAAAAACCCCAGCTGT